GTCATTCAGAAACACTGGGTCCCTCTGATTTCGGAGAGCAGATTTCCTTGGCTTTCTCTTACCCCAAGCTGTGACAGGAATGCTGTCCCATAACCCACTGATGGGGCTGGAGGGCTCCTTCTGATAACTCAGGCTGAAACCGTAATTCTTTTTCGTCACCACCTCTGCTGGCTTCAGTGCAGCTTCTCCTGATTTACAACACTGACCCTCACAGAAGGCTCCAGCCCGCTGTCCCCCACAACCGTTTTCACCTGCAGTGCCCATATAACAGATCATTTTGGCCAGACACTGTAGCTGGGTTAGTAGTATCTCAGGGGGGACTCTTTATAGACTACCACTTAAACTGATTTTATTTATTTTTAACAACACAATTCATTGTGCCACCTCCATCCTTTTATTTTCTGGAAAAAAACCCCTAAATGTTGGGCTTGACACCAATTGAATACCCCTTCAGAAAGCTGGATTTCAATCTAGAGATATATCAGTAGTAAGAAAGCTTCCAAGTGTTAATTTTAAAGCACTGGTTTTTCATGCTGACTTGGGAAATTATCCATGGGTTTTGGCATCAGGCAGAGGATTTGGAAAGTGACATTAACAGATCTACTTTCTTTGAAGGACTTGGGAGTCATTTCTTGACTTCTGCCTAATGAATAAGTGCTGCCTTTGTTAAATTTATATTTATGGCCATATAGTAGGTCATTGGCTTGTTTTATGCCTCCAGGTTTATGGAAGGTTATCTGCCATGGTCACCTTGTGGCATCTTGGCCAGGAGCATCTCACAAAGAAACAATTGTATCTGAGTAGGATTTTTCCCGTGGAGATATGGAAATGATCAAATTAATATAGAGGCAATGTCCAGGGATAAGGCTCTTGCCCTGAGCTGCCAAATGAAGTTACTATTAGCATCTGTTTTCACAGTACACCTTTAGTTTTCCCTGGCAAGGCTAGATCCTCAGCTTCTGTAAAGCAGTGAGGATACATGGAATTCAGCAGGGCTGATGTGATTGATAGTTGTCCTCTGGCCTCTCAGGACCCTCTCTGCTGCTTTCACTTCACCAGCCGATCCTCAATGTGTACATTACATCACATTTAATCTCTTAAGTGTCTGTATGCCAAATGTAAGATCTCAGTGAGTCTGACCACAAGGAAAGCTATTTCAAATGTTATCTATGGGCACATTTGCACAGGCAGTCACCAGGACATCCAAGGTTTTTTGATGATGTTACAACTTAGAGACATGCTAGTTCTGGTCCAAAAGCCCTTTTAAGGTGATTTATTATATCCATGTCCCTCATCTAGTGTCTCCTATGTGCCTATAGCTCTTATCAGCCCTTATGTGGCTGTTTAGCTTCTGAGGTGCAGGGGGTTACACTCTGGCCCAGACAGCATGCAGAGGAGCTAACATTTGTTCCTAGCCCTGCATACCTGTGTTCAACTAATATCTGCAGTAACAGAGAAAACTGGCCAGCTGGATGATGAGTAAGGGTGGCTGAAACAGGGTAACTCTCCTACCACGGTGCAGCATGACTTGTGTGAAGGCCATGGGGGCACACACCCTATTAAGTCATGTGTATCCTACAGATGCATAAAGCATCATTTCCTCATGGTATCCATATGCTGAGACACAGAAATTATTCATGTTTCCCCATCACTTCGAATTTTAGCATGTGTCATGCTCCAGCCTACAGTAAAATGTAACCTCTGGGGCATGTTGGCTCTGAATCATACACTTGACCCTTTGTTGAAATTCTCATGGATCATTAGAATGTAGGAGGGCTGTCACTTCACTGAACACAGAATGGCCACAGTTTCCTGAAATGTCTAATTTGTGTCTTGAGATTTCTGGATCAATACCAGCCATTGGCTTAATCCACACTACAGCTGGAAGCACAGACAGTTATGCCCTTCACTGGGTTTAATTCATCTGACAGAGTAAGCAGCAGCCTGAAGATATGCTCATGGCTGCCCAAGCTACCCTGGCTTCATGCCGGGGAACACTGCCAGCCCTGGAGTCTGTGTCCTTGCATCTTCATAGGCCATGTTGACCAGCATGAACACATCCACTGTACTGAAGTCACATCTTCATTAGCTGAGTAAACACACTCTTCAAGCTCAAGAAAACAAATTATCCAGTGAGAGAAAGTCAGCACTTTTGTTTTTAACAGATGTCAAGTTAAATTCCTTCGTATGGTGATTCACTAGCACTGCTTTTCCCAAACAGCCAAGGCAGGGTGTGACATGATGTATAAAACACAGAGCCCCATGCCAGGGGTTTGTACCTCCCCAGGCTGTTGAGTCCTACAGCCCAGAGGTGCTTTCAACTTCCTCACTTTTAAGAGCATCTAGTTAGATGAGTGTTATCAGATCCAATCTGGGAACCATCTACTCATGGGTAAAGCAGCAGCAATGTGTCTGGTCTTAACATATTGCTGCTACTTTACCCATGAGTAGATGGTTCCCAGCTTGGAGGAAAGCTGATCAAAATCAGGGAGAAGTCTTCCCACTGACTTGCATGTGCTGTCAGCCAGGAAGAAATAACCTGCATGATCTGGGGCACAAGGCATCATAAGGCACAAGGCTTTCCTGAGAAAGAAACCCCTGGTTAGATACTACTCTTGTTGACAAGTCATAAAGACTTAGGAAAAGAGTGAACTCTAAAAGCTTTGAGTGGGAGGGGGAAAAAGCTAAGTTTAAAGGACTGGTTTTCCACACCATGTAAACAGAGCATTTGCACAGTTTTAGCATGTAATCTTAAAGGTCAACCATGATTTTCAGTGTGTATTTCCTAAACAGAATGGCTTGGTTACAACAGGAACAGTAAGGCAAGTGAGATATTCACAGATGGGATGAGGACAACAGCTCAGCAGTGAGCTGGATTGTCCCATTTGGGACAGACTCAGCTATAGCTGGGAGATTAGGCAGTTCCCATGTGTATGGGAACGTATCCAGAGAAGGACCACAAAAATGATCTGATTGCTGGAGCACCTCTCTTATGAGGACAGGCTGAGGGAGTCAGGATTGTTCAGCTTGAGGAAGAGAAGGCTCCAGGGGGACATCATAGCAGTCTTCCAGTACCTGAAGGGGGCCTACAGAAAAGCTGGCGAGGGACTTTTTACAAGGACTTGTAGTGAGAAGAAAAGGGGTAATGGTTTTAAATTGAGAGAGGAGAGACTTAGATTAGAGATCAGGAGGAAATTCTTTAGTGTGAGGGTAGTAAGGCACTGGAATTGGTTGTTCAGAGGAGTTGTGGAAGCTCCATCCCTGGAAGCATTGAAAGCCAAGTTGGATGGAGCCCTGAGCAACCTGATCTAGTGTGAGGTGTCCCTGCCCATGCAGGAGAGTTGGAACTTGATGATCTTTAAGGTAAGGTCCCTTCAAACTCAAACCATTATATGATTCTATTTTATGATTCTATGATTCTGTGATTATGCCTTCCACTGATGTCCCATAGGTTTTAATGTATTATCCTCACTCCTTTTCAAGAGGTGAAAATCCCTACAGTAGGGCAGTGCTTTCTCATTTCACTTACACATATATTGAGGGATCTCAAAAAGTCAGCTAGGAAATGAACCAAATAACTTCCAGCCTAAGACTGCAATCTCACTTATTTCTCTCTGTGACTAGCCCATCCTCAAAGTCCTTGTAATCTAGTAATATCCATAATGAACAAAAGCCTCCAAGCCTTATCGAGCTAATTGGGTTTCTCCCATCAAACTCTGGTCTTCTCACCATTCCTCCTTGGATTTTGGGCTAGAAGTGCAAGACTTCACAAGCTTCCATCATGATCAAGGGTGATCTTTGAAGTTAAGTTTCAAGCTGGTATTTGCATCTGTAAGAAAACACTTTGTTCCTTGGGTCTTTAACACTTGGGTCTACAAACTTCCCCCACACTTTGGCATCCAGTCAGTATCTCTCCGTGGGCAGGCCAATGGCATTAGAATTCCCTGTAAGAGGCCCACACTTTTGCAACCTCCAAGCTCCTGCTTCTAGATACACCTCCATGCTTGTAGGAAAGAAGGTGGGATGGCAGGGGAAAAGTGGCAGCTTCCTAAGGGATCATCCTACAGTTACAAAGCCATAGGGACTGCGTAAATGTAGAGCTGTGTAGCACCAATAAATACAAATTAAACTCATAAGAAGAAGTAACATATTAGGACCAAGGTGACATTTGGGCTGGAGGTTCAGCCAAGTTTTGCTTTAAATATTTTATTGCTGCAGATAAAGAAAGAGCTTATCCAACACGTTTCTCTCTCTCTTTTTCTCCCTCTGTCAACCAAAAGGGAAAAGGAAAAAAAAATAAAATTAACTAGCTTTGGTTGTATTTGAGCTAGACTTCAAAGTTGCACAAAATAAACAGATTTAGGGGGGAGGAGTGCATACTTGTAAAGAGAGAAAATGCACTTTGAAGCCAGCAAGAGACTGCATGCCTTACACAGAGATTCACAGCATCCTCCCTGGAGCAGACAAGTGGTGTCTCCCTCCCCTCCAAGCAACATCTCCTCTCACACAGGGGGCTGCCTGGCAGCACTGCAATCCTTCCAAGAGATGTTGGGATGGCAGAAGCCACTGCTTTGTTCTCTTCTCCTTCCTCCTGCTATGTCCATGTTGTTTTCTGCTCTGATTAAAAGTTTCATACAACTGTAGCTGTCACGGAGATCTGAGTTTGCACAGCACCTAGCACAGTGTCAGTCCTGGCTGAAGATGCAGGCTCTTTGGGTTTGACTACAGCAATGCAGAATGTCTGAATGATCAGAGGTGGGATACATAATTCAAGATAAAGGAAAGAGGGGAGAGGTTTGTGTGACCTCTGCTTCAAAACCTCAGTGGAAGACAACCAGGGGACAGAGACCTCCTGGCCATCATGGGGGGCTCTGTGCAGTTCTGTCGTTAGGGTGAGCAAGGTTTGTCTGTCTCATACCACCTATTTATGAGGGAAGAAAAACAAAGACTGTCTGTCATGCTTTAACCCCTTAATTCCTTTCTCTCTTTTATCTCCACAGCACAGAGCCCCACTGCAGCAGACCCCTTGCAGCAAGCCTACGCTGGAGTGCAGCAGTACGCAGGTCGTTAGTATTAACACTTTCTCCCAATAAACATTTCTCTTCTCTGAAGCCTTTAATCTCTGAACATGCCTGAGGGGGTTGGGGGTAGGGAGGTGTTTGCTTATCCAGTGGCAGGCTGGGAGTCACAGAATCAGATAAATTTGCACTCCTTGTGAAAACGAATATGAAGTCCAGGGTCTTTTCTCCCTTAGAAGACAACCTCCTCCCTTTCCCTAGGGAAAGGTTCCCACTAACTGTACCTTGGGGCAGCTTCATTGGCAGGGCCAGGCCCAGTCTGCTTAACATAGTGCACAAGTGCAAAACCAGGCCACTGGTGTGGAGGCCACTTTCTGTAACAGGTCTCCTGGGTGCTGAAGAAAGGAAGGGAGTTGGGTAACCAGACACTGCAGAGTCACTGCTGCTGTGACTGGCAGGGCATGTCCGAACATACCTGTATTTTAGGGTATGTCTACACTGGCCATACCCCGCCTAGTTAGTTTGAGGCTTGCTTAAGAGCTACACAGACATGCTCCTGGCTTCTCAGCAGCTTTCTCCATGGCTCCCAAGAGGTCAGCCTCTGCTCCTGCGGCCCCATAAGCTGAGCAGCTCCTTTGCAGTTGATGGACTGACAGCAGCCAAAGTGACCTGGTGCAGACCATGACCTCACCATGTTCAGCCTCCCCTCGCGAGGTGTCCACGGTCAACGTTGTGAGGAAGCTGCCACCCCAAAGTCATTATTTCCTGTGGTAACTGGAGCAATCATGAGATCCCGCAGAGGAATGGCTATTATCTCATGTCAGCACTGTATCTGGAAACTTAATTTAATTCTCCATGTAGGGCTTCATTTGCCGGTGTTTTAGTTATTGTCATTTATTGCTTGTGAGGTTTGATAGATGGGAAGCAGCTCAACCCTTTGAGCTGTTAATTAACCCCTCTGCACACACATGGCCCCTATCCCACTCTCTCTGGGTTCACAGGCGACCCATAGTCTGTATTTTTAGCAGCAAGGCACATCATCTACCATCTGTGGTACTGACTGGCTCCCCTTGACTGCTTGGTGGGGAAGCTGAAGTGGGGAAAATTGTTTAATTGCTGCATACTGTTTCCACTGTGTTTGTGTGAGAGGGAGGAAGTCTCTATGGACATGAAAGAAAACATACATATCTGAGAGTGTATGTGCAACTGTGCCTATACTGTGTGTGGGCATAAAAAGGTTAGAGTAAGGGAGAAAATATTTATGAACTGGTTTTATGAGTATGTGAATTAATCAGAGTGCAGAAGAGATTACACAGGGAAGTGTGTGCATGCGTTCTGCATGTGGCTGTCAGCACGGGCATCAATGTGTTGAGCTCATGGATGGATGTGTTTGTGGCACCATCTGGGATGATTACGAATCTCTGCTGGGAGAATTCCCAGCAGAGAACCCTGCTTACACTGCATAGCTGTCACAGGAGTCACTGCTGATGAAGTTGAAGGGAGGGTGAATGCTCAGGACCACATGGCATTTCCTGGAGCACCACCATGGTGTTTCTGCCCCATCTCAGGCTGCATGAGATGTCCCTTCACAGTACCAAAATACAGGGGAAAACCCCACATCTAGATTGGTATGACAGTTTGGAGTGAAAGCTCCTTGCTCCCCAGCACTGAAATATGTCCCTCTTTCTTCTCTCTCTTTCTTTACCCTGTAGCTGCTTATCCTGCTGCTTATGGCCAGATTAGCCAAGCGTTCCCACAGCCACCTCCTATGATCCCACAGCAACAGAGAGAAGGTGAGTAAACAGGCTGTCCTCCTTTCTGGCCTCAGCACACCATCCCTGCCACATTGGTTCCCCACCTCATACACCTAGAGAATATACATTAAACATTTGATTGCATTGAATCCTGGGTCCACTGAGCCTTTCCTCCATTTCCATATGTGGCACAGCATCACTAGCACTAACATTAGTATGCAGTAATGTCCTCATGGGGGATCACTGCTGAGATCTGTCCCCAGGAAGGGAACATGTTGATGTGAATGGGCCATGGAAAGTCCTGCTAGCAATACAGGCAATAATCCAGTGGGGCTCTGTGTCAGGGACAAGCAACAAGAATGTGGGTAAAAATGCAATTGCATTGGAATAAAGAATTTAATAGAAAACAAAACACTTGGGTCTTTCATTAGAAGTCAATAATGTGATTTCAAACTCCTGCTATTTAGAGAAAGAGGACCTGTTAGTAGAGCTGATATAGTACTTTCATCCTCCTTTGATAATCTGGAAATAGAAATCAGACCTGTATGAGGATGAGATTAATCTTGCAAAAAACCTATCTACTTCTTTACATTAACTGTAAGACGTGGCCAGGTTACCTGGCCAGAAGGACTGGATATCCTCACTGGAGACATAAAAAGTAAGGAGAATTGAATTTCCCATTATTGTACGTAAATGTTTTGGAAGGCAAACATGCTATATAATGTTCCCTTTACAGCCAGAGGGGAGCAGTGGGATCCCCAGAGGTAACCTGCTCAGGTAGTCCCAAATCTTCTTCAGGGAGCCTACTGCTCCCTTTTGATAAGAAGAGGAAACTGCTTGTCTAAGTGAGGCATTTAAGTCAAGTGCTTCAGCTTAGTGTAGAGATCCTCATTTTAAATAATTACATTTCAATTTTTATCCACTATTAGATCACTAATTCAGATATCTTCTATGTTATACATGTTATTATATATATAATGGCATTTAATATTTTAATATAGTGTAATAGTGAGAATGAAATTAATCAAGAGTACACTATCACACTAAAATATTCTGATGGCCTAGAACTACTTTGGAGGAGAAATCTCATTTATAAGAAAATTAGAAATGCTAGCATTTCGATCTAATTTTGAATCAATTTTTTCCTGATGTCAGAATTTCCTGGGGAACAAAACTTCCAGCTCCTGATTAGCTCTAGTACACATCCCTGCTGTGAGAACAGATGCACAGACCAAACGTATCATTACAGAGATGTTTCCCCCATGCTGAAGGACTTTGCTTTTTATTACTTACTGGGGCTAGATTAAGCACAGGACAAAATGGCGAGCAGATCATTGCTCAGCATAGCATCATGCCAGGAGCCATCAGAAGCACAGGATAGCTGTTGAGCACACTTTGAAGACCCACTGCCCGAAGACCCCTGTGTTGGCAAGGCATTATGTGTCTCTCTAGTTGAGGGTGAATGTCACCCAGTGGACAAGTCATAACTCCTCACTCCTTTTTATAAGCAGCTGGTATTGACAATGGCTGGGGACCAGACATATAAGATGAACCACTAGTCCAAAGGAGGTTACCATTCCCAGTGCCCTCTGTTTTTCTGCAGTATTTAGTTGCCATGACTTTCTCTGCTGCTTCCTAGAGGGAGAATCTCTAAGGCAAGATACTTATTTTTAGCAGAGAGTTGAGACCTTTAAGTATCTCTAACCTTTAACAGAAAAAAGCAACAAGAGAGAAGTACAGTAATAATAATGCTCAGTGCTGAGAAGAGTGTTTTATGTTTCCAGGGATGTGAACAAACATTGATTTGTTAATGAACCAGTCCTACCACTACATAACATCAATGATCACATTGTTAATAAGGATGGTAACGCTTTGCTCCTGTATCCCAGTTGGATAACAAGCCCAGAGCTGCTTGGCTGCTGCATCATTCCTGTAGAGATTAGTCATTACTTTCACATGAGCACTGCGTCTGCCAGTAGCTGATGGGATGCATAGAGTGGAACAGATCCAAAATGATCAAAGTTAGAGATGAAGTCTTGATTCAGGCCATGTCAACCAGGCAAAATGTGGGGGTAGTTTTAAATTTGCATGGCATTACTCATCTTGACATAGTTTCTGAAACTTAAAAATACACTTACATATTAAAATAAAGTGGTGCAAGCTTGTGACTCTCAGCTGCCCTGTGCTCACTCATGCTAGGGACTGAATAACACACAGAATCAGAAGAGTCACTGAAGTTACAACCTCTAAGTAGCTGCGGTAGAGGTGAGGTGTATATCCAACTTAGTGTACAACTGACCAAATGGCCATAGACTAAATTCTTACAGCACAACCCATTTTTAATTACTTTTGGAAAAGCAGTCTGGTTACAGCCTTTTGTTATGACACTGATTCAAAGTGTGAGGGGTGCAATGATAGATAGCTCATGTCAAACACAGGTAAAAGGACTTTATTAGTGTTGACAGTGGACACCCAGGACTAGGTTGGGTTTGCTGCTGTACCCATGCTAAATGACTAACAGTAAGCTGGAGGATGAGGAGCATGGACAGAGCAAAGGCTTTGTAGCTCAGGTTCCACCAAGCTGAATCAACACAGATCCACCACAGAGTTCTCTACCATGTGCTTCTGTGCCTTCAGTCATGTATTTTTGCATTATCCTGCAAAGTTTGCCTGTAACTTATAGACCATTCATGAACTCTACATTTCTTAAAACTTTAAGTTCCTTTTAGCTTGAAACAAGCTTATTTGTGCTTTCTGTGCATTAATGAACAGAAATATCTCTAATTTAAAGCCATAAAACCAAGAGCTGAGGTAGATGTCAAGGTAGAAATGAACTTTGATTCTCTTCTTATAACATGTCATGAGGTGAGATTTGTAGATGGCTTACAGCCCTTTTGAAAACCAAAGTGAAGTTTGTGGCAAATAATTTTAGCACCTTAATCAGCCCTGAACAGCCAAGTATGCTGTTCTCCAACAACCCATCACCTCATACCAAAACAAGACCTACCACTCCAACAAAACAGTTGGAGACTTTCCTAAAGTTTAGTCATACCAGCTCTGATCTTCCTCTTGCACCAGTGATCCTGATCAAGTCCTTTGAAATGCATTGCATGTGTGCACTGAGTACTTATACCAACATACTGAGCTGAACAACTTGTACCTTTGGTTTCTTAAAAATAAGCACATATATATAAAGAGGTGGCCATGCACATAAGTATATAGTCTTCCATGAAGTGCGCAGATTAACTTGATACAGGCAAAAAAAGCCCCACAACAAGATAGAAGGGCTAACAGAATGAGATTGGTTTTTTAATTCTTTACCAAGGAGTCTAATTGTGCTAGGTAACTTACAGATGGCTGGATTTAACAAGAAATTGCTTGTTAAATTCTAATGGCAGAATTTTCATATGTGAGGATGCAAAACCAAATCAAACTACTCCAGGTTATTTCTCAGTAGCAGGTGGAGTTTTCAGCTCTGGAAATTAGCAAAAACACTCTGTAACTGGGAACAGAGCAAGTTTGGCCTTGAATGTCTGAGCTGGTATGGGAAGCCACAGCATGGGTTTCCCAGCCTCATTTCAGAGCTGAATTGGGCTTTGAGGAAGGTCTCTGCTTTTTCACATCCTCCCTGGTTTCTTCCTCTTGGTCTTTGAACAGTGTCAGTCAAAGTTGATTTCAAGGTGAACTAAGGGGTGATTTCTCCTTGAGCCCAACCTCTAAACGTAGTGTAGATGAAGTTGTGTGCCTCCTGGTCAGCCTTATGCTTTAGTAGATGTTTCTCAGCACATGCAGGCAGAATCCCTACTCATGCACAACACATCCAAGACCCCAGGAAATGCAGCTGGCATTTTTTAAAGAATTTGCCAGTTTTACAGAGCAAACTGCTGGCTCTGGTGATGTCAGTGGGAATTTTGCCACTAGCTGCAGCAAAGCCAAGATTTTACCCATTATAATGTGGATCTCAAATCCCACAGTAGAAATGCTCTGGGGCACGTTCAGATGATGGACTTTTTTTTTTTTTCCTGCTATTCTGGACTGTGGTCTTCTCCTGGGCAGAATTTTCTCAATTTTAACAGACACCTAAGGGGGTCGGTGTTTGTTTAACACTTTCAGACTGTTTCAAGTCTAGTTTATCATGCCAATAACTCCACATTGTGTGGAAATGAACTGCAGCAATGACTGGAGAAGGGATAGTTGCTCAGTGAGGAGACTAAGGAAGAGACAGACGGGAGGGGGTGGGGGAAGCTGGAAATGCTTGGCATGAAATAGGGGAGCCTGATTGCGGGCCACTGAGGTTCAAAAGTAATTTAGCTAAGCAGATGACCAGGTGCCTAATTAGTTAATTATCCCACTATACCACTATCTCCCCTATTTGGAAGAAACCTTGTTACCATCTTCATGACCTCTAGGAAATGCACAAGATGCAAAGGATCAGCTGTTCCTTCATGACAGTCCTTTTAGCAAATTAGTGGGGAAAATTGTGCTTAGCAAATATTCATTAGGGCTTCATTTTCCATTAATCCAAAAGGAAATGTGGAGAGCCTGTGACTTCAACCACGCTGAGGCCCAGAAATTTTAATGAGCTTTAAATGGGCATCTGTCAGAATCCTGACTTTGCTGTACTTCTCCTGCCAGCCAGGGGGATGAGTAATGGCTAATAAAAGGTGGGAGCATCTAGGCAAAGATGCTCCTGCTAGGGAGAGGCAAAGTTGTAATTTGCTTTGTTATGACACTGTAATTATGCCCTGATGAAGAAAACGAGAGTATTAAAAAACCCTTTCCTTCTCCACACTGTGACCCCGACATAAATGAGGGAAAGTTTGTGAGTCAGTTCATAGGGTTGTAGGCACAAGGGCTGGAAGGAAGGAGGAAAACATCCTTTCTCATGTCCTCTCATGACAAGGATCATGCACTGTTTTCCCTTCATCTCAACCCCCATGAGCAAAGCAGAGCTGGAGTCACCTGTTGAAGTCAGTGCAGAACTGGACAGCAGCTGGAGATATCTTTGGAAAATAAGACCAAGAAAATAGTATTCCCTGCCTCCTTAAACTACACAGTTGTCTGCTACTGAACACTGCAAGAGGTTTAAATGTTTACTTTTTTTCAACAAAATTACTTTAAAACACCTGCTTACTTTTGATGTTTGCTGAAGTACAGCATGCTTAAAAATAGAAGTCACATTGAAGTTTCTTTCTAGGCCATTTGACCAGAGGCAGATTCCCTGTCTTCTTCCCCAAAATACAGTTTCAACAGAACATTTTATGAGTATCTCTATTCTAAGAAAACCACATATTCCAGCTGGAAACCTCTCTGGATATTTATTCAGGCATCCTCTGAAGTCTGTAAGAATATGTTACAGCACTGAGGCCAACATATCAGTACCTCTTACCTGTTAATTTGGATTTAAATACCTCTGTAATCTCTCTTGCAGAATCCTCTAGCGTGGGGGATTTAACCAAATTGTTTATATTTTGGGGAGTCTTCAGGCATAGTCTTGCCAGGGGTGTTGAATGTAGAATTTTACAAAACAAAAAAATCCTGTGGGTTTATGCAGCTTTTTCTACTTGTTAGTACAGTCCTTACACAGACACAAGAAGGATAATTAAATTTCTGCATGCAGACACTGAGAAGAGGCACATGTTAGTGTGAGTCACCCAAAACTCTGCAGATTGAATGAGGATATAAGGAGCAAAGAAAAACTATTTACCACATTCTTTTATTCTTTTTGGTTTTATTCCTCTGGTCTGTCTTTTCATGGCCACACATGCTGTTGCATCCCTCAGTCTCTAGATTTTATCCTGGTGTCTGTCGTGGGAAGGTTAATGAATTCAGCATAGCCTCTGGGTGGCTGCTTGAGTTCTTGGTCTTCTGCTTTGTCCATTCCTCTGAGAGTCCACAGAGTGCACCTAGAGGTGACCCCTCACCAGTCAGAAAGAGGGGATGATAAAGTATATCTCCACCATGTGCTTCTTTATATCCTATTTCTCTCCATTCATAGGTCTTCTTTTTCTCTTGATAGGACCAGAAGGCTGTAACCTGTTTATCTACCATCTGCCCCAGGAGTTTGGGGATGCTGAGCTGATGCAGATGTTCCTGCCTTTCGGTAATGTCATCTCCTCGAAAGTGTTTGTGGATCGGGCGACAAACCAAAGTAAATGCTTTGGTGGGTAAAGATAACAAAACAATTAGATTCATCCAGGAAAGGGCTTTCTCTGAATACTTTACCTTTCAAACTGCTTTCTTTCTGCTTAAGCTTTATGATTTCTCTCAATTTACTCCTGTCAATACTTTCCCCTTTCCCTCTTTTTCTCCTAATTGTCTCATGCTCAGAGTTGTGTGCACTGCTTAGAAGTGAAGGTCTGGCATCTCACCAGTAGCAGGGTGCTGTGGCTGCTGCTGATGGGATGGAAAATATTGCTCCTTGAAAGGGGAGATGGGGAGGGTACAAAAAACACTAAAGCATCTGGAACAAAATGAAGGGTAATGGTGGGGTAGAATAAATGCTGGTGGGGTCAGCAGTGGGAACATGTGGAAGAAGGGGAATTTCTGTACCTAAGAAAAAGGAGAAGCAGGTCATGGGGTTGAAGGGAAGTCAGAAATGTGGGGGCAATTTTCCAGCAACAGTGATTAATTAGTTTGCAAGGCAACAAGGGTTCAACATCAGCTGAAAGCCTAGGGGGATGGCTGCTTGGTGAACCACAGCCAGCCATACTTTGAGCTTGCTGGACCAGAGCCAGCACCAAATTAGATGCAAATAGACCAAACTAAACCTGTGGTCAGCCATGCTAAGAGGCAGGCTTTGAAATCAGCACCATGCTCATACAGCTGCTGGGTCAACCCCACCAGCTGGAGCACAGAAATACCACAGCCTCAGCTGCCTGTAAGCCACCAGCTAGGGACAACCTGAGCTGTAAATGGAGGTTGCAGCCAGCCAACAGCCAGGTGATATCTCAGAGGAACCCTGATGTCTGCAAAGGTGTTTCTGTGAAGGGTCCTTTCTGTCAGTGCAGTGACATAGAGACACTGCCACATTTGACCCCATCCCACCTGGTGGACAGAGGATCTCCCCCATCCATGGGCCCACCACTTGGATGTGCAATTTTTGGTTCTCTGCCATCCTGAACTATTTGCAGACCTTCTCTGAGAAGCACAGTGGGACAAACTATTGCTTTTCTTTTCCTGTTACTTGCAGCTGTTCTGGACTCTGTCACTCAGGCAGACTTCCAGAGTTAAGATTGAAGTTTCATTTGATTTTAAAGCCACTCTTAGTCTCCGCACAATGCTTCTCTTCCATGGTGCTTTACCCTTTCCTTTCCTGGACAGCCTACCTCCCAAAATCTTTGCCTTATCCCTTGCTAGTTATGCTGCATGTCAGACAGTAATTCTAAGAGTTTTGTACCCCTTTTCTGTGCAGTTTTTCCTGCCCATTTGTTGAGTGCCTGAACAGGCTATTTTCACCTTGGATTGAAGGAGCCTTCTGCCATGACATGAGGGAGTGCAGCATTCCCCTTCTTCATTAGTCCATTGGGTTGCTGCACTAGCAAGCTCTAGAGGAATAAAGGACAAAGAGTTTGGTGTGAAGAAGAAGCTGGGAAATTTAAATAAGCAGTTATGAATTAGCCCCATTCTCTCCAGAGCCCACTGCTTTAGAGCTCTAACCATATCAGCGCTCATAACAAGATGAGCAGACCAGCACAGCTGTAGGTGACATTGAAAACTAATGCTCCAAGGATATCCATGGGTTAGAAATTGACCTTTGGCTATGAAATTGTAATTCCTATAATAAATATTATAGGGACCACTGAGTCTGGCTTTCCACATGTTGTCAAGTGGGAATAAAAAAAGGTAAATGGAAAAAATTAGGTGAGAGCGAAGTCCAGTAATCAAGAGTATCTCCTGGGCAGGTATCCACCTTCCTGCCTCCCTAGGTCAAAGGCTCTCCAGCAGCAAGGCTTACGGAGGACAGCAACATAGATCTAGCTTGTGGGGCAGGCTTGTGGGGCTGGCTTTATTACTGCTTCCAAGGTACTGTGAGGTCATGGCTTATAGCTGAACAGGAATTGAAGGATTTTGGCAGAAATTTTCTTAACATTGAGTCTTACTTTAGAGAACCTAACCATCAGCTTATTTGATACAGCAATCTCCAAAAGTAACAGTGGGATATTCCAGCTTGAAAGCACGATAATACCCCTTGGATGCATAGACTTCAGTGTCCAGGAAAGCATATGCAAGAATTAGAGATTGCTGGTGGATCTTAGTCACCTTATTTTAGCTTCTGAGACTAAATATCCAAGTCGAGACAGCTTTAGTCCTAGGTGTCAAGCCTCAGTTTTCTCTGGCTTTAACTTACTTTCCCATAGAGCTGAGTGCCTGCTGTGACTGCTGGTCTCAGGCAAACATGTTGACTCTGCTGCCATGTGCACCACCTCTATCCAGAAGGACAGAAATAGCAGAAGTACAGGTAGCTAATTATTACAAGTACCTCACACTGCTCTTCAAAACCTCCCACCCTGCTGACCTTCAACTTTAAAATAATGTAAAAATGTAGAGGATACTACAGAAAAATCAAGCCTTTTATTTGTTATGCTAAGTACACTGAAGCTAGAGTTTATTATATTCTTTTGTTCAGAAAGTCAATTATTATTTTTAAAAAAATCCTTTTACCAAAAATAAAAAGAAACAAAAATAAATTAAATTTTAAAATATTATTTTAGCTTTGAAAGAAGGAAAATGCTTTCCTTTTCTACCTAAACATTTCCCAAATTTCAACATGTAAAGACATAGCATTTGCATTCTGTTTTGTTTTTTTTAAACAGAGCTAGAGCACTCCAACTGGTAGCCTGGGGAAACAATTTTGTCTGGCCTTAAAAAGATATTTCACCACTATATGACCTTTTAAAATGTGGCTAATATGCAGATCCCAAGTAAATTGCTGTAACAGAGTCTAGCCCCAGGTTGTTGAGAAATTTTCATGAAGTCCTGCTTCAGACAAACTTAGAACAATTCTATGGAGAAAAACATGACCATGTTGTGGGTTGTATTTTTTCCATAAGAACAGAAAATACTTCATTTGCTGCTCTTGTCTCACAGTTGAACTACTTGTAAGCAGCTGGCCCAAACTGAGTGAGTCAGAAGAGCAGCATCTCAAAATGAGACTTCAATTCCTTTCTGTTTGGGTCTAAATTCTCCCCTGCATTTGCATCAGAAAGTTATCTCCTTTGACAGCTACTGACAGAATAGCATTAGGGGTAGCCACAGGGGTGTTAAGAACAAAGTGAAATCAGCCACAAGCCTTTCTCCTGGTTTCTGTAATTCATGACCTACAGAGAACCTTTAGCAGCTGCACACACTGAGGAAACCAGACTGTGGTCATGAGGCCTTTGAGTTTCCCGATGCAGAGGCCACCACCTCCTGGCTGACAAGGAGCAAGGAGGAATACAAGCTACTGCAAACACCAATCTCATGTATAAAATGTGAAAGTGCTCATAATATGTTTATTGTTCTCCATAGCAGGACTGCTTGCTGTAGTGTGTAAGACTGAGAAACAATCCTGACTTCTCACTGAAAAAGTCACTTAAAATGGGAGGCTTCTTTGCCTGTGACTTTTCTTCTGCTGCACACAGCCAGGCTAGACCCAAATCCTTCATTTTCTCTTACAGTTTTCAAACCTCTTGCTTTTCTTCTACCCCCTCTCCTGATGAAACTGTAACATGGCAAAGTGCAGACTACACTTCTCCTTCCCACTCACCAAATACCCTGTCTATCCCCATAGCCTGAGCCTCCATCACACCAACCATATCAGCATCTCCTTGGGTTTCTCCTCAGGCACTGCCTTGTCCATCCTCTTGTATTCAGACTTACTAATTTCACCTTCACAGTTCTTCACCCTTCTGCCCTTCCCTCTATCACTAGTCCTTCACCCGATGTCCAGCTGATACCTCTAGCCTCTTACCCTGCACTTTGTTTACAGCCAGCATGTTTACCGCACTGGGCCATGCTGTCCATTCCCAGTGAAATGGCTAGGCCACAGCAGGAATCGTCTCACTCAAGGAAAAATTACACTTAGTCGGATGATTCTGGAAGAGAGTGACTCCCATTCTTACAGCAGGCTGATCTAGGAGGTCTTGCACAGAGGCGCAGTGTGCCACAGCCTGAACATCAGCTTCTGCAGAATCCTGGAGTTTGTCTCTGTGCAATGCAGAGACTGCACTGGGTCCGTCATCCTCCCACTGCATGTTTACAAGTTCTTATAGATGTAGGTACGTCAGAGGACATGAAATACATCCATGTGCTGGTCTCAGTGGTTCTGGCGACAATTCCCCTCTCAGTTATTCATGTAATTTAAATGTGAACAGACTGTGTAAAAGGTAAAAAGTAAACTCTAGTAAAATGACACTACCAATGCTGCTAAAGCAAGTAGTCAAAGTGAGAAGAGCCATTCTTCAAGCTGCCCACACATGGCTAACTCCTCTTCTGTCATAGAGTGATGCTGCAATACAGTCCTAATTTCAGGAGCACTCACTGTTGTCACACAAGACACATTTTAAGAAGTCATTTGAAGACATTAAACTAGAAAAATAAAGAGACAGACTTGTTCTAGGAAATTGTTTTAGCAGAGAAGAGAGAGAAAAGTATAGGTTTGGGCAATATTAATTAGAAAGACATGACAGAAATTAGAAAAATGAGAATGTTGATGGAGCAGCAGAGGGCAAAGTATTACCCCAAGGTGTCAAACAAGATGTAGATAAATTAAAGCTGGAGGAATTGCTTTAGTGGTGTACTTTGAAATTCATTCCTCCAGTCACCTCTTCCCGAGAGAAATAAGAACCTGGATCTGCCAGCTCTTTGCATGCCATCAGGCAGCACTGTCAGGCCAGTTCTTCTCCACACCTCTCCTTGTCATCCACATGTGTTTCCTTAGCATGTACCTGCTGCCTGTGTCTGCTGGGAAACCATGTTCAGTTCCTCCCTATGGGACAATGACTCCAGGATGCTGTGAAAAGCCTCTGCTATGCCCACAGAAACACTGTGATTTTCCTCCACTCAGCTTGACATGGTCTGACACCCCAGGTGTGAACAAACACAACTGCTGAATGCTTTTCT